AGCTTCAGACTGTAATTCAGAATTTGGTGGTAAACCCACATGGCATTACTGGAGTGTGCCATCTAAAACCACTTTAAAAAAATATGCAAAATTTCAGACACAGAATCGTGGTTATCATCTAAAGGTTTTTGTGAAAAATTAAGTATAATATAGTAGAACCATTAAAGCCGTAACTGATGTGACCGTCCATTAAAATAAAATTGCTACAGGAAGATAAAGTATTACATGTTTTTACAGCATTTAACTCATAATTTAGATTAATTTTATAACGAGTAATTGATCTGAGTTATAGTAATTTTGTGTAGAAAAGTAGGTCTGAAATTGAGAGTCTCATTCACTTCATTATTTGTTATTCGTATCATATAGTCATTACCAGTATTTTAGCAATTTTTTGTGAATCACAGAAATGATTGCAGTTTGACTATGCTGGAATAAATAATTATTAGGTAGTGTTTCCAGGATAATGCGCAACAGATGGAATCTGGTCGTAAAACTGGAAAGTCGTCAAGACGTTCGAGAGTTACTCGCAAGCGTCATCGTCCGTGTCAAACAATCAAGTTTGGAACCAACATTGATTTAGCTGATCGGAACAAATTTAGGTGTGTATTTCATTTCTTAGCTGGTATGTCGGGTTGGGGAAAGTCAGGTGCTATTTAAACTTGCTTATTTTTTGATGAATCTTAAAGACGATCATAAATACCAAAAATATCTTCTTTCCATTCTAGGAAACAATTGAATGAGCTAACTAAACTGCCTCCCTATCTTCGACCAGAGCACGATACTAACATGTTGTCATATCTCGGGTATGATGTCGTTGGAATGAATACTGTGCAGTTTTATATGAAAGTATGCGCTTGAATAAATTATATAAATTATACTAGCCATTTTCTTAGATCGAGCATTTCGTAGCAAAGTGTACAAATCTGGCAACGAAGTCATAATGAGAATAGTTTTTTGTATATTTAAATTTACAGTTTCAGAAATTTTTTTTGTCTATTACTGAGTTCTTAGGTACCTGGAGTACGGACGCCTGGTCACTTAGAAAACAACTGTTTGGCTTCTGTCAACATAAATATTGGACCCGACGATTGTGAATGGTTTGGTGTGGATTACGCTTACCTAGGCACTTTCAACAAAATTTTACAAAAGTATGCATTAATTTCAAAAGTACTCTCTTCATCTAGTCAACAAGTTCATGTTTCTTATGTTGGTTAGAGTGTAATTTTTTTAGTCACAAGATAAGGTTTCTTACCGATTCTTGGTGGCCGAATTATTATGAGCTACTGAAGGCTGGAATACCGGTTTTCCGATTTACTCAAAAAAAAGGTGATATAGTTTGGGTTGGTAGCGGCTGTATTCACTGGGTGCAAAGTAATGGTTACTGTAACAACGTAGCCTGGAACGTCGGCCCATTCAACGCAAAGCAATACGAATTTTTGACTCTTAGTCATGAATGGAATAGAGTTCAGGTGATTCGATAGCAAAGTAAATGCGGTTGACTTGTTCTCTAAGATTTATGAGGATTCAAAATCAAGAAAAAATTTTTTTAGATTTTTGAAGCATCATACTCTGTTTTAGAAATTCATGTCTCTTGTTCCGGTCCAACATCTTAGCTGGCAGCTAGCACAACGCGCAGAAATTGCAGATGAAAATTTGTACAAATTAATCAGAAAAGTGTTAATTCGATCAATGGCGTACTGCAAAATGACTGCTGATGCCCTGTCGGCATCCTTTAAGGAAATTAGGAAACATCCTCGTTATGAAGGCGACGCAGCATTGTTCTGTGTTGTTTGTGAAGTAAGGCTCCGAATGTTACTCTGGCATTACAAATCTTATTAGAAAAATGTTCAGTTCTTTTAAAACTTTATAAAGTGATATAATCAGGAACTTCAGCATACCCTGATTTCGCTTTGTTTTCAATCTCTATTTTAACACTTTGCTTTTGAAGGATAGTTCCACTTGGTGAACACTTTTTAGATAGAAGTTTGGAACCTTTTCTTTGTTAAATTCAACCAGGGCAAATACGATGTATATTGTTTACACTGCGCCAGAAAAAATGATCTCAACAACTTTGTAGCATTACAACAGTACAGTTTCGAGGAGCTTTCAACTTTTTTTGATCAGTTCAAGTGTCATAAGGCAAGTGACAATTTCAGGATTATTGGACTGTCATTTCTGATCTCTAAAAGAAAATCCATTTTAGATGGTTCAAAATAATCGGTTTTATTAAGTTACATTCTCTTTTATTATATTATTTCTGTCTATACCTGTTTTTTAGAAGCTCAGTAACGGTGAAAAATCTCCACAATAATGACTCTATTTGGCCTGTACGGAATTATTTTCGGGTTTCTTAGTTCTATGAGATGACGATTATCATAATAATCGGTTTTTTTATTTTTGGTGCCTTTTGTAAGGAAGATCACTTTCTTTGTTAACTGTTTCTTGGTGTTATAACTCCTATGACTGATAATTTCTTTGAATTTATACTGTAAACGGTAAGTTAGTTTATGGTTTCTCTGTGTTCTCTAAAACAGTGATTCTTAACTTTCTTGGTCTGTCATACCTTTTTAAGTAATAAAAGTTATCAGCAGTCTTCTAAGGGATTATCCTACTTTGCTCCCCTCGTTAAACTGTGCATAGTTTCCAGTTTGGAACACTATCACTCGCTTTCTCCGGAGTTCATACAACAAATTTTTTATAACATTAAAGAAAACAAATGTTTGCTTTGGTTTTTCATTCCAGTTCAAAAAAACTTTGTTCTTCAACTGCCGTTTTTTGACATTTTTTGCTATTAATGTATTAAGCCAGAGTGAAACCTTCCATTGTCTCCTCTGCTTTTATCAAGGTTTCCTCGCTTCTCAAGTAACTTTCTTTGCTCTCCACTGAGTACAGCGTTTCGACGTCTTATTTGAGTATTAAAAGATGAATTGTGAAAATCAAACAAGTAGCAAGATTTAGTTTTTGAAAATTTCATTCTTCTTAATATTTGCATACGAGCTAAGCTTACATTTGTTACAGGACGAAAATTGTATTGGTAGAAGATTGACCATATTTCTGTAGGTATTTGCTTGGTTTAGACTGTGTTACTAGGTGAAAGTTACAGAAAAGAAATAAACTTATTTTCCTATCCAATTTGACAAATTTCACCTGCTCTTATGTGCACTGTATTTTTTTAAAGCAAAATTTCCCTTGTAAATTCTTACTTGTTATTTTTTTTTACTTTGACTAATACTTCTGAAAAATCGGTCTAATTTTAACATGAGTTATTTGCATATTTCTTGTAGTCACTTTTTTCTAAGAATCAGTTCTGAAAAGCTTTGCTAGATTAAATGGTTCTACTCTGTTGACTCATTGAATTAGCTTGATTTTTTGATGTGTGATCAACTAATAAAAGAAACTTTTGCAAGTGGCAGGCCGAACGTTATACACTTCTGTGACGTTTGAAAGGCTTTATTGTCAATGCAGTAAAAGTTAGTAATTTGGTTCACATTTAAACCACTCATAACTGTTCAGCATTAATATTATTGGTTATCATTTATGGTTGGCTTTTGTTTAGAGAACGTCATCGAGTTTATAGCATTAAAAGAGAAGTTTAAACTAAATAATCCGTTTTTCAATGTCAAGAAATAAATTGATAATTCTTAACTTAAGCGCAAGAAAACTCATTAGCATATTTATTATTATATGGTGTGTGGAAGGCAAAACCTTGTTTACACATAACACAATAGAACAAAAAGAAAAAAAAAAAACAAGCAACATCAAAGAGAAAAGAACCGAAGACATTAACGAAAATTACATCCTTTGCCACTTCTACCATTTATCTGATATTAAACAATTTGAACCAGAGCAACTCATCGTTTATGCTGAATTCCGTTCAAAAAAATAAGCGTTTTAGTAACCTGCCAAAAATCTAAAATCATCCAAAGTCCTGAACTTCATAAGGCGTCTAAGATCAGCGATTGTAATTATACAACTGGGAAATTGTTCTATAGTTTACCAAGACTGCTTCTAAAAAACTTTTATATTTCGCGTTAGTTTTAGCTCCTCCACTTCCAGTCTGGAGCTTACCAGTCCCCATATTACAAACTTTAGTAGCCAATGTGAAGAAATCTGTAAAATTACAGTCTACAATATCACAAATCATCTTATGCATAACATAAAGCACGTTTTTATCAAAATATAACTAGCGGGATCAAGATTTACTTTTGCAGCCTCTTTTCAGACATGGTATTGAATCACTAAAACTGCAATATTCTTTCTGTGATACGATCCTAAAAGCTCAAATCGCCTCCGCTAAAACGCCGTGACATCTCACTAATTACCACCAATTCACATTTCACAAGTATAATTTTTAACGGGACGTAAAAAAACTAATTTCCTTTAAAAAAATGCCTGAGATTTTGATATGTATAAGACAACAGAATGCAAATTATCAGTACAAAAGTTTTCATCATTCAAAGCTTAGAACATAAGCAATTTGTATTTTAATTAAGAGGCACCGTATAGAACCAAGTGTAGGACGCCTTATATCCTTTGCTAAGTTCTTAGACCAGAAATTTGCAAAAAGCTACAAATAATTGCACCCACTTCGTAAAAATATAAAGCTTTTCTTAATTAGCATTTGAATTATCAGTATTCCGACTGTCCTTAAAAACAAAAAATAAATTTTACAGTTGTCAACTAGAACTGCTTGGTCAATTTATTCACATATGGATAGAACTTCAGATATTATAATTATAAATGGCAGTAATCCAAGTCACTTGCTAATTCTGGGCTGTAACTATATATATAAATAGAGAACACAGTAATTTGTGAGTATTATTTGAGCTTTACAAATCAGCCTGTCTCTTAATCCATTGCAAGGTTTCGTTACCAATACCTTTCGTAAGCGAATTCTTCAGTAGGTTTTAGTGAAAAATGTAGTCAAATGCCTTAGAAATATTAAGGTGGACTAACGTAACTGCTTTCACCTTATTAATTTTTTTCTGTTCAATGATGAGCATAAGTAACACGCTGTGTTACCGCTTTTTTACGCCTCCAGAAATCTGTACTGCGTAGGATAAAAAGTGCTGTAACTCAAACAGTTTAATTAAATAAGTGGATGTTTTTTTAACACCATTGCAAAACATGCAGTTGAGGCTGATAACCCTATAGTTTGTAGTTTTAGGCCCATAACCTTTTTCAAAACTAGTGTAACCGAGGTTTTTTTCAAATCTCCCGAACTTTCCTCTTCCAAACCAGTTTTAAAAATGCGAAACAGCGGAAGAATCGACGTAAGAGGAAATTCCTGGTAAAGTTAACTTGGAAACTGATCAACCGCCCTCGCTGTTTTTAAGGAATTTTGATTGGGTGGAGCATAAATATCAATTACGTTACAATTTAAATTGCTCATGACCTTACAGCTCTTTCTGCTACAAATGGTAACGAATCATTATCGCATATTTTAGGAAATGCAGAATACCTGCTGAATTCACTTATTATATCCATGTTTTTCTCTAAGCCTTACTCTTCAACAATTATACTAAAATTAAAAATTTTCTTCTTCAATCCGCTGCAAAAAGAATAACCAAGAGCTATATAAGATCTTGTTGCTTATAAATTTTTTTCTTTTTGATTGAAAAATGCTGCAAAATTTTTTTTTTGAAGAATCTAATAATTCCACCGTATAACAATTTTGACATTTCTTTATCCAAATCTGGTTTTATTTGCAAATGACACCCACATGCTTTGGTCCTTTGCCTGCAAAAGTAACTCAATAGTCGAACTCAATAGTCTACTCCCATTTCTTACTAAATTTAGAAGTTAGAAAAAAAAATTAACTAATTTAAGCAGCACACAAAAAACTTGACTATTATCAACCTGCCGATAATAAAGTAAATACTTTATTCCACGCAATATTAACAAGAACTTTTGTAACAGCAAAATAGTAAATTATCATGTAATTAACGTTTTTTTAAGTGTTATAAGATTTTTATAGGAACAGCAATGCAAATCATATTATAATCACTGCTAACGAGCAGTTCGCTCATCGTTAAAAATCTCAAAAGATTTAGATTGGTAAATAGTGCTACAACACAAAAAAAAGCCACTTTCACTGACACTTTCAAAGTTTAATGCAGAAAATAAACACCACAAAAAACCAAAAAGTCTAACTTACAGAAATATCTTGCATTTTCACAGGGGTGTTAGTGGTCAGTATAAGAAAATTAATATATTTTAATTAAATACATAAAATACAATATTCTAGGAGCATTGTACAAACTCAAGCGTGATTTACTGGAATGTAATCAGCAAGAGCTACCAGAGACTTATGAAAATGAAGCATTTAACTGTCATACGAAAAGAAAAGAAGGGAAGACTTAACATTGACTGTAATGGAGAACCAAGTTTCCTTAGAGCCTCCTGCAGTAAGGATTTTCAGCCACATCCGGCGGATGGTATTATGATATTTTTAACTTGTCAAAATTGGCAGTCTATTCTCGCGAGTAACACCATTCCCATTTTCTCTATAAGCTTTTGAATGTAAAACAATACAGATGATCCATTATCAAAAAGAGCATCAATTTATCCGAGTCTAACGACAAACTAACAACTAATGCCACTCGGAAATTTGTTATCGTAAGCAGCAAAACAGTTATATTCATTCTGTAGACTCCAAACAAAAAAAATTGTAGTTTCCCATTTGCAAAAAGCCTTGCAAAACCGAAAGAAAAGGTTTCAGTAGCATCCTAATGGCTCTGAATTGTCACAGCTAAGTATTTTCAGTACCGATAGCCATACAACCATTTGGCAAAAAAAAAAAAAA